GTATTACTCTTGCTTCTTCTTTATTGTCTCTTGCTATGAATCTAAACCCTAAACCCGACTTAGCGATGACTGGGGAGCTCACCCTCACAGGTAAACCCTAAACCCTAAGCCCTAAACCCTAAACCCTAGTTTGAACCCGCAGCGGTGTTTCGGCAGTCTCGCCCACTGTATATATATACACCCTCAGGCGCTAACCCCAAACCCTAACTAACAAATCCTAGGCCCTTGCAAACCCTAAACCCTAAACCCTAAACCCTAAACCCTTGTGAGCTCAGGGAAAGTTCTCAAGGTCGGCGGCATAAAGGAGAAGGTCATCGCCGCTAAGCGCGAAAACATCCGGGTAACTGCAAACCCTAAACCCTAAACCCTAAACCCTAAGCCCTTCACCGGAGCACCTTCAAACCCTAAACCCTTGACATTCGTAGCTTCAAACCCTAAACCCTAAACCCTTTATTTGGCGCTGCAGACCCTCATTTTTCCCAAGGGAAATGAACGAGACTTTGACGAGCTTTCTTCTAATATTAAGGTGGGCACCAAACCCTAAACCCTAAACCCTAATTGGCGTGATTGCAAGCAAGGGTTGATTGCATGCATGCAACTTCTTCTCAGAGCAAGACTGTTCCTATTCTTCCTCGGTTGCCTAGGGTTTAGGGTTTAGGGTTTAGGGTTTAGGGTTTAGAGCTTCTTGCATTTTCTTCAGGAGGGCCTGGAAGTTCACTTCGTAGAAAATTACGATCAAGTATTTAACATCACATTTAATTACCAAAAGGAGGCCCCTCAAGACGGGGCCCCCAAGGGGCCCCCGCAGGAGGCCCTTCAAGAGGGGGCCCCCCAGGGGCCCCCACAAGAGGAGGCCCTTCAAGAGGGTCCCCCTCAAGAGGGGGCCCCTCAGGAGGGGGCCCCTCAGGAGGGGGCCCCTCAGGAGGGGGCCCCCCAAGAGGGGGACCCACAAGAGGGGACCCCACAAGAGGGGGCCCCCCAAGAGGGGGCCTCCCGGGGGGCCCCCTAAGAGGGGCCCCTCAAAAGCCCTCACAGGGGTCCCCTCAAGAGGTGTGCCCTTAGGGGCCCCCTCTTTAGGGGGCCCCTTAGGGGGCCCCTCTTTAGGGGGTCCCTTAGGGGGACCCTCTTTAGGGGGCCCTTAAGGAGACCCTTTAGAGGCCCCCCGCGAGGGGCGTTGACGGGGATGATAGCCTCAGAGTTTAGGGTTTATAGGGTTTATAGGGTTTAGGGTTTATAGGGTTTAGGGTTTGCAGCATTGTTGTTATGCATTCGGGGGCCCCTAGCCTTCACAGGGCCCTCTTTTGGATTGCTAAACCCTAAACCCTAAACCCTAAACCCTCAGGAGGCTCAGACTGGCAGTGAGAAGTTCTTTTTCTATGTCTCTTGTTGTTACGATGTGGTGAGCCCTAGGGTTTATTAACCCTGAGGGTTTAGGGTTTAGGGTTTGAGGGCTTATTTTAGGGTTTGCTTCTTCTTGCTAGCGTATTAATAGACATGATAGATAGCACAAAGAAATAACAACTATATATATATACATATATATATATATATAGACATATATAGACATATATATATTATAGAAGCAAATAATTATATATATATATATATATATATATATATATATATCTTTGTAATTACAACAAAGATGCAGCAATAATAATAATAAAATAATAATAATAATAATAATAATAATAATAATAATAATAATAATAATAATAATAATAATAATTAGGGTTTACGGTTTAAGATTTGTCTATGCCCATGCATTTGAACAATTAAAGAAACAAACGTAACAACAGAGGGGTAATCCAAGTTCAAACATGCAGCAACCCTAATGGCTGCTGCTGCTGCTGCTGCTGCTGCTGCTGCTGGTGTCATGCTGCTGCTGACACTGCAGCAGGAGCAGCAGCAGCGCAATACGCAAAGGCTGCGCTGCCGCTACGTGCGTATTCCCTTCTGCTGCTGCTGCTGCTGCTGCTGCACCTGCTGCTGCTGCTGCATCTGCTGGCTCTGCTACTGCTACTGCTGCTGCTGCTGCTGCTGCTGTTGCTGCTGCTGGCAGCAGAAGGCACTTGATAAGCCATACAATTGTGCAGCAGCAAACGCTGCACAGACACTAAAAGAGTGTCTAGGGTTTAGGGTTTAGGGTTTAGGGTTTAGAAGTCCTTATCCCAATCATATTCATCTTCCAATTCTATTCCTTCATCCTCTTCAATCTCCAACCCTCCCTGAAGAAAAAGAAACAAACCCTAAACCCTAAACCCTAAACCCTAAACCACCGACGATGCAACCTAAACCCTAAACCCCCGGGAGATCTGGCATTGGTTCCGATTAGGGTTTAGGGTTTATCACCACTGCGGAACTGAGGCTTAGGGTGTATCACCTCTGTTGAACTAGGATTTAGGGTTTAGGGTTTAGGGTTTACCTCTTCTGCATCTTCAGCGTAGGTCTCGCCTTTAGGAA